TAGGGTATTTGAAGAGATTTAGGGTCTGATGGATGGTGAGCAAAGAATGAGCTGAATGAAGGAAAAGGCAGGAAGTGGATTAATACAAAACAGAAGGATGAAAGGCACGGCAGACAGAACAGGAAGTGAAGAAGACGGGCTGCAAATACTTCAGCCAGATGCCGAGGAGACAGAGACGATGAAATGAAATAACGACTCCAAATGTCACACTGTAACATCTATATGGGACATATTATTTTAGAAAAACTCACACTTCAAAAGCAGTATGGTTGCAGCGAAACATTTTAACATAAAAAAACCAAGCAGTTCAGCGGCTCAGTTTCCTTTGATGACGGCCCAGACAGGGCCAGTCAGTTTGTCCATGAAGCCTTCAACTGTGGTCTCATCTGACCAACAAATGTGTGTCCAATTTCTTTTAATCCATTAAAGGCGCACTTCAGGCCAGGGTTTGAAGAAAGGAAGCGATGGAGACAGACGTAAGATCTTTGTCTTCTTGAGCGTAGGAACTTTTTAAAGAAAATTAACAGACGACTAAAGTTAACTTGGTGGTCAGTGTTGACCACACCTCTGATGGACGCTCCATCTTTATACCTTTAACTTTTAACAGTTGACTAACTGATTCAACGCAACCTTTCTGTCTCTGTTTAAAAATTGAAACAATTGATTTTGTAATTGTCATTTAATTACCTTCTTGCTGTGTTTTTACCTAATAAACAATAATTAACATTCATTTTAGAACTATTTACTTATTATTTTTTGAAAAAAAATATATTTTGATTACACACGCAGTCACTGTTGTGGCAAAGTTTTACTTACAGTAACTTTGTGTTCTCCAGTCAGGTTTGGCCATTCACACAACAGCTGGCTCTCAGACAGGGTGAGAACACAGGGAGTCTCCCCAATTAGCACCGTGTAGTTCAGCTTAGTGTTTCCTGGAGCAGCCGGAATTAGGTTACGGCCCTAGTAACAAGACACAAACACAAACACACGTTTGAATTTATTTCACAAAATGAGTTCAGAAAAATGAACATTTGATTCAAGAGTGTAAAATAAAAAGAGAATCCACCGCCCCCGTCAGGCTGAGCCAAAACAAAAGGTCACGTCCGAGTGGCTGACAGGGGTCAGCGGGTCACGTTCAGCTTTAACTGCCTGTGTAAGTAAGTCTAAATTGCAGGTTACCATAGCAACAGTGTTTCAGCTTGAAACTGCAACAAACTGTATTTGACAGCAAGTGAAAAAGTAAAAAAAAAAAAATTTAAAAACAGGTGGATGATTTTATTAATTAATTTATTTTATTGTATTCTTTTCTTTTTTTTAAATCAATCACAAGGGCTGCAGTGAGTCATTAAAAAAGACTACGTGTTACAACACGGTGAATATTTAACTATGAAAAATAACGATATTTCAAATGTATTTCATATCTCGTGTCTGTCTTCATCTTCAAATATCTTTGCTTTGCTGGGAAAAAAAAGCTCTTGATGAACATCTAATTAACAGCAATTAGTTATCAAGATGCCATTTCTGAGATGTTTATTTCTGAAATCCCTCAGCCGGAAACGTGGTGGTGCAATCAGAGCTTTTCATTATAGAATGATATTTAGAGTTACAGGAAAGAGGCACGAGGCTTTATTTCTGAACCTTTCTCCTGATTGGCTGAAAAAGAAAGGGCTTGAAGTTTCAGTGAAACTGCCTCCAGTTTCTGAAAGGCTGTGAGGTTTAAGGGATGAGGCATGAAGACAAAAGTTAACGTTTGTAAAAGGCGGGCTCCTGGATGAGAAGTACGAATTCTCTGTCCTACCATTTAATCAGTGTAGCTTCCACAGATGTTGCTGCAACTCAGGGATTCATTTTAGCTAGCTTTAGCTTAGCTTTTTATTAGCACCTTAACTTTCAAACTTCATCCTTTAAAGTAACAATAATAATAATAATAATAATAATACATTTTATTTAAAAAGCGCCTTTCAGGTCACTCAAGGACACTGTACATAAAATAAAATGATTGATTAAAACAAAGTGATTTGAGTTCCGTATTAATCATTACCCTGCAAAAGGTCTTTTAACGGAAATATAAAAATACAGAAAAGTATAGCATTTACAATAGCTAAAATATCTGTAGGGATGTGTGCAATATCACAGTGTGGTTTCTTTGAGAAAGAGTTTTACCTTGAGGATCAGTGGTGAGCTGGGCTTCAGCTCCAGCAGGCCTGTGGTACTCAGAGGTTCAAACACCGGGTCGGGGTGGTAGCTGAAGGTCTCGTTCACCACCAGCACGGAGCGAACGTCGTCCATGATGAAACCAATCTCGTCGGGACTGCTGCCGACTTCTGAGAAGCTTTTGTCAGATCCAGCCACAGAGGGCGCCAGACATACCATCACGGTGTTATTGACAACTGTGCAGTTCTATAGAGAGAAACAGATTGAAAATGAAGAGAGGAGAAGAGTTAAAAGATAAAAGTTGAAATCTGATCTGAAAAGTTATCGATGTTCTTCCTCTGTATAAAAAATGCTGCAGTTCAGCATTCAGTTTATTCCCGCGACATACTCAGATGTATAGATTAGATTATGTGATTATGTGAGTAATTAAATATGTCTGTAATGACATGATTTGGAAGAAGCATGGCTTAATAGCATCAGTGTTGTAATCAGTGTTGGTATCATCCACAAATCCCTGCTGGGACTTGACTCTTAAATCACTGCTGAACAAATGAGGCCGTAATGACACAGGAAGATGTGGACCAGGTCAGTAAGGAGCTGCTAATGAAAACTCAGCAGGGGTAAAGACCACGGCGTATTTCAGCTTCAACGTGCATTACCATACATTTCTCTGGGCCACATGATCACACGTGTGAAAGTGTGGCCGCCATGCTGAGGCCAATCCCACAATTCATCAGTAAAGGGCGATGTGCACACCACACAGTTTGCTATTTAACCACAGCTGTCATATGGTCTGTTTAGAGCACATCATATCATATATTGTCAAACTCAAGGCCCGTGGGCTGAATATGGCCCACTGCATCATTTTCTGTGGCCCACTAGAGCTCATCATGTGTATGGTTGTCTTAAATACAATATCTATCTCCAACTAATGTTGAAGTTGATGCCAAATGAGTTATGGAATCAAGCTGGGCACCGACCAGGAACTTGGTCTCAAGAACATGTACCAACTTTTCTGGAACTGTAGGCGGAGTACAAAGGAAAAAAAAATATGAAGGGATATTTTTACTTTGGGCTCAGAGTCTGAGAGGGAGAAAGGTTAGCTCAGCCCTGTGGTGCTGGGTGAAGGCAGAGGGGATTTGCCAGAGTAGCTTTATTGCTGGTTGACATTTCAAAGGTTAAACTGCTAAAAGGAAATTCAACATCAAAAACAAACAGAAAATGGGCCCTTGGCTGGTTGACCAACGGGTCAAGTGTGTGCAACTCAGTGGGTAGGTGTGAACTGGGGATGTGTGTGTGTGTAGTCGAACCATGGCTGTGTTTACATGTGAAAAAGATGCTTTGAGTTATTAATTATTTTTGTAAATGAATGTAAAAATTAAAGCAATAAGTGAATGGGATGAATGTAGATATAAATAGAAAGCAGGTGGAAACTGGAATCTTCTATTTTAGTTCTCTTATTTCTGTGGATTAACTATTCGTACCTTATTATAATTAGATCAGTCCAAATGAATGTGAGTTAATTACAATAATTAACTTGTGAAATTGATTTCACAAATTTGAGTTTTGAATATATTTTTAGAACATAATATTATTAATATTAGTGCCATAATAATAATAATAATAATAATAATAACAATGACAATAATAATAATAATAATAATGTGGATAATGAGGATTCTTTCTATGATTTCTGTCCAGATAAATAGAGGTGAAGCAGAAACCTGTGTCTGTGTCTTGATGTCTTCACCAGTTGAATCATTTGTTCTGTCAACTACACCACACTGAGTCTGGATTCAAACACCTACATTTTCAGACTTGGCCGATCCATACTTGGCTCTCATTTTCGGCTCTTTGATTGTTGCCAAATTGGTCCCGGTAATGGTCAACATGGTTCCCCCACTAAAAAAACAGAGATAACAAAAACACATTTAGAGAGTTAAAAAAACAACAACAGAGAAACATAATTAACACATTATATAATTAACACTTCTGTGTTCGTCTGTAGTCAAGTCTGCTGCTGCTGCAGGTGGAGATAAATGTGAAGAAAATGGGAGACAAGAGGTCCTCCAGTTGAACAGTTACCGTTACTGTCTGCTCCTGCTGCAGCCTTTCTCCGGCTTATTCATGAGAACCCACTTCCAGGTAATGATAGTAACACCAAAGTCCTGCCATGAATGTTAAAAGCTTCTTTAAACTGATATGGAAGCCGGAGGGAAGAATTTTGCAAATATGTAGCGTTACTCCTGAGAGCTGCAGTGTTTGCCCTCAAACTGTGGAAATCCAGGGGGTTATTTTTTAACGGTGGCCAGTGTTATTTTTCGACCTGACACGCACTCCACATCTGAACTGCTGTGAGTGATCCGACATGTTTGGTAACCTTTAAACCTGGACCTATTACGGTCTAGGTGACTCTGATAAGTACAGACACTGGTAACGGGGGTGAGAGACGTACCCCCCCACACTGCCCCCTCTTGACAGCTGAGAGTTTGAACTTTACATGATGTGAGATGTTCTGACAGCAGCTAAATCTGTCAGAATACAACACCAAAAAAAATCAACAGTGTCATAATCTTCAGTTTATCTATAATCACAATATGAACATCATTTCAGTGGCACTCGTTTTTATGTCTTGTTAAACCATCTGTGGACACAGCAGCTGTGAACCATGGAAACAGGAGTTTCATAAAAAGGAACACACGTGCTAACATGACGAAGAGTCTGTGAAAACAGTTTATATATTAACAGTTTTTACATGACGCTCACATACATGATTGGTTTGCCTGAGATGAGCAGCGTGTCATCCTCCAGCTGACAGTCACTCTCACTGCACTGCGCCATTTAAATAACATTAAATACCACAAAATTGCTGCTCCATCCTCCAATAACATTAAATACCACAAAATTGCTGCAGTACCCCGTGTGTTTGTGTGTGTGTGTGTTTGTGTGTGTGTCTTTGTGTGTGTGTTGTGAGCCACAGAGAACTCTGAATACAGAGGAGAAAGTCTCTGTCACGTCTGGTTTTTGTTTCTGGACAAGGCAGGCTCTGTGCTGTTTTAAACGGGCCCAGCCAGCGGGTCGAGGAGGGGAGCAGAGCAACACAATAGTTGGGTAAATAAAAAGCGTGAACGGCCTTGAGACGCATGTGCCTGCTCCTCGGAGAGTACTGAGTAAAACACTGAGCACAAGCAGAGTGTGGAGGTCATTCGCCCTCAAGTCTGATGCCAGCGTTTTTATTCTCATTCCCCTCACACGGACCTCAGCGTTTCATTCATCTGGATCCAAATGAGATTTCTGTTCCGCTTACATCTCATTCACATGACGAGACAATGGCCGAGCCGCAGAGACTGGACAGAAAACCCATCTGCTGGAAAGTCTAATATGAGCTGGTCTAATGAGTGACACTCAGGATGTAGGAGATGAACCTGAAATACAGATGTTTTAATCACCTTTAAAGTTAATTTTACTTTACCAAAACACTACTGGGGCTAAAATGGCAACACCGACGTAAGTAAATGAGAAGGTAAACACTGAGACTGCTTCATTTCAGAACTGTGGAGTTTCTAGGTCATACCACTGAGCCTATTAGCATTTAGAAGCTCCACGTTTTCCCCCCCCCCCACAACACAGCGTGTGTTGCACAGGGAACCGTCCTGTGGCTATGTAGACTCATTTCAATAAGTCAAATAATATTTTCAGATCCATCTCTGCTGCAACTCATCAACCAGCGGCGCTCGGCTCCAGGAGCCTCCTCTTTTGCCTTTTCCTGCGTGCAAAGATTTACTTTTGAAACATAAAGACTAACAGAATAACTAATGTGCCTTTGAAAACAGGAAGGGTGTCGGCACAGAGAGGAGCGTTCTGTTAATTTTTTCTCCTACACTCAGCCAGGAGTTGTGCCAGTATCATCCTAGCCTTTAGACCAAGTTCATATTTCACACTGACAGAAGTGGCATTAATGTATGGCAGAAGAACCAGCAGGGATTGATGAAGTATTCGTGTATTTGTATGCGTTCTATAAATCAGTGGATCAAGCAGAATTGCAGATCAAACACAACATTGATGCAGATTACGGTTAATGCAATAATTAGATGACAGACTTGATTTATTAGACAATAATGCCTGATGGATTTAACTCCGTGGTTCAACCCTGCCTGGAAACTGCAGGACACAAACAATATTTAAATAAATAAAATATAAAAGTTTCTCTCTTGTTAATCATCAAACACTTCATTTTTTCCCTTGTCCCATGACTAAATATTTTTTATAAAAAATGTTGACTGTGGACTTGTGGGTCACCCCACCTGGCGATGCTCCAGTCAGGCTCAATTTTGAGGATGGTCGGGTCATCAGAGTAGTTGAACTTGACCTCCGGGTTCCTGAGCTCGGCAGAGTTGATGTCCACCATGACTGGTGTCGTTCCTGGAACTTGTCCCGCTGGAGTCACACACACTATCTCCCTGCTGGTCCTCCTGTAGATAGAGAAAGGAAGAAGACGGGGTTGAAGACGTCACGTGAAAATCTCTGCAATAAAACTAAAAAACGTGTGTGCACGTTTGGGGAATTTAAACGAAGCAAAATATTAGAACTGGAGAAGAAAGTACTCTGATAGACAGAAAGAAGACTGTGTAGAAAGCAGAAAACACTTCATCCCTCAAACAGCTCATCTATAATGTATAGGATGCAACAAAAATGTAAGTCCATACAAGTAAAATGTGAACATCTTTCACTCCTTCTGCCACAGTTTCATCAGCCTGAGATGTACTTCTATACTTCAAAGTCTCTGCTTCTTCTTTCTTTCTTTCTTTCTTTCTTTCCTTCCTTCATTCTTTCTTTTTTCATCTCTCTCTGCCTTTTTTCTTGTGAAGTGTCAGATCAGGCCAGCCAGGTCTCTGGGTGATGAAACTCTGTCTCTGGGGGACAGACTGCCAGCTGTGACCTGCTGCTAAACTTTGTGCCACTGCCAAAGACTGTGCTCTCTGCTGCAGCAGCTCCTTCCACTGTGGCCTCCTCCTGTGAGAGTGGAAACACTGCTGGTCGAGCAGCAGGGGGTGGCTACCCATGATGCTTTGTGTGAGTGTGTGTGCATGTGTTAAATTAACATACTGAGCAGATTTGTGTGTGTGTGTGTGTGTGTGAACACCGACAGGTGGTTGACATTTCCTTGTTATTACAGGCTGCAGCTCATGGACTGTTCTTCTAACTCATCTGCCTGTGTGTTGATGGTTTATGGGATTTGTGCTCTCGCCGTCAGGTGAGGAACTGATGGAGTTTGTGAGGAGGAAGGAGAAGCAGGAGAACACATTTATCCTTTAACAAGATAGTATCTAAGTTAAGATAAGATTTTTGGGAGAAGGTCAAAGAACTTTCTGTTACAGAACAGTTTGATTTATGACCAGAATATTCGGTGATTGTTTTTTTTTAATAAAGACATTCATTTGTCATTCTATAATCAGCCTGAATCTACAATGATGATTGACTGAAATGATTAAAAAACCCACATTTCTGTTATATATATATAGATAGATAGATAGATACTGTATATTTAATTTAATATTTAATATTTTATTTTACCGACAGATGCGTAGTAAAGGTGCTGAAATTCAATGAGTTTAAATGAGGCATTTATTATATTATTTATTCATTATTTATTGCGTTAAGCCAGGTATCAACTATTTTATTTATAATCACTGGATAATGTTATTATAGAAACAGGTTAATCCATAAATGTCAGGTGTTTTATCAATTTTATATCAGTTTATCTCCACAGCCCAGTGGAAACTCCGGTTTTTTAGTTCAATCATTTCTCATTAGAAATAACTGGTCGTCAAGTGTCTACTGACTGATCCTTACAGGCAACACTGAGGGCGAAGAAACACCATGAGGGACAACACGCAAAAAAACCCCCAAAAAAAACAAAACATGGCCTCCACATTCATTAAGTGCTACGTTGCCATGGGAGCCAATCTCCTCACACGTCACCATCAGAAGCAAAGGTTTTTGACAAAGTTGTAGCCACACAACTGAGACCCAGGAGGGGGCGCCGGGGGAGAAGAAGACAGAAAAGAATTTGGAGATCAAGATGAGAGCGTAAGTGACTCAGGGTAAAGTGGTTTTGATTAAAGCGCGAAGACGCCTCAAAGAGATGAACTGAGGCCACTTTATTTCTTTGGCCATAAAGGTTACTGCCGTGGAGTAAAAGAAAGGCCAGGACCACGATGTTCTCCTTTCTTGGGATGTGCTTCAGAATTCTAAATTGGCCTTTGCTTTTCTTTTGATATAGTTAG